AGATACTGTTTATTATAATACTAAATATATATTGCAATAGAGCAAAACAAAAAGTTATAAATATTTACTATAAAAAATTAACAATAAAATTGAATCAATATTTTAATTTTTTTTATTTTGAATAATGTATACTTGTGCTGAATATGAAACACTGTTTTCATCAAAGTAGTCTGGAATAGAATTTAGACAGCTTAAAAAAATTGACAAGTTAAAATTATTCTAACATTTTTATTCAGTTGCATACAAGCTTAGATTGTAGTACGGTACTCTCTCTAGTCAAAATTGTTACGTTACTTGTCCGTTAAATAAAAGCAATTATGGAGCAGGACCCAAAAGATTTTGGTGTTGGTGATAAGCCCATTGATATGTCCGTTGTATATGGATTTGTGGTACAATAATAGCAGTTAATATTTTTTTAAATGTCAATTTTTTTTTTGAAAAAAAAATGTTTTTGTTATTCATTTTTAGCCTAAATTTGAAGACTTTTCCAAGTGTATAAACCAATCAAAGGAAATGGTTTTTAAGTTCTTTCAACTGCTGGATACTGATCGTGATGTAAGTTATTATTTGAAACTGAAATAGCGTTCAATAATACTCTCAAATATTTAGAAAATCAAGTACCTGTGTGATGACAACGCTACTCTTACTTACATTCATGAGGAATATCGTGGGATTGCTGATATGATGGGTTTTTATGCAAAGTTTCCTAATAGTGAGCACAATGTTGAGCATATCAAGTCTGAGAAGATAAAGAACGTCGTCACTAAGAAGCATATTGGGTTCAATATTGAGGCTCGTGGCACTGTGACTTATAACGGCAACCAATCCAGCAACCTCAAGTGGTTTGAGCAGCGTTTCTTGTTACTGGAAATCGGTGGGTACCTCAAGATATTTGAAACTAGTTTCAAATATGTCTAACAGCATTCATGGGTTCAAGAACAAGTAACAATTCATAAAAATTCCGAATTGAAATAATTTCACATCTTTAAAATTTAAATAAGTAAAATAAAACAAACAAAAATTTTAGTTTTTTGTTTGAAAAAAATACTTGCAAATAAATTGTTACATTAAATTTTTCTGTTTATATTTCCTAAATTCTACTTATAAGTATAATACTGCATACTACTTAGTTGCATTGAAAAATTATGCTACAAGTACAATTTAAATATAATAAGTAGTTCTTATTTTCCGAGCTTGTACTTGCTTATAGCTGGACTAGAAAAATGGATATGCACATTCCATGTAAGTACTTCGTTTATATATTATATACACACATTCTTGCCATGAAGAAGAGGCAAGAGTAGGAGAGATAAAGAGAGAAAGGTGTGACAACTATAATAATAAGTAAATATAAGGAGAGTTTAATTTTGACTTATAACGAGATTTCCGGATCTTTTGAGACGTAAGGATCAAGTCACAAAAATTAGTTCTCTGGCGGAAGAGTTAATGCATTTAGTTATGAAATTATTTAATACTTATTCCAATAAGTTTTGACTTAAATTACTTAAAGATTATTATTGGTTTTTAAAACGTAATATAGAATGATGCTCTTCTGATTATCCTTCGTTTTCACTCTGGTGTAGTTGAAGATACATTGTTAAAATTGGTTGGCTTTATAGTAAAACTTAAGGATGATTGGTTTAAGATTTGAAAATGTAGTATAATCTTATGAAGTTTGTTATAAGCTTTTTTGTTTTCCAGTGCCACTTTAATATTATGTTTAATTGAGTTTCAAATGAGGTTACATTATCTAATTGAGGCATGATGAAGCTATAATTGCATTCAACAATTATCGGAACAGTATCTTCTTCATGACTTAAAGTTACACGGACACATCTCTGTTCATGGATTTTAATATGCCATTAATATAGCTATTTTTCCTTCAAAATTAAATAATTTTGAGTTGTTATAAAGCTGCTCAAACACATGAAATTGCTAAATTATTAGCAAAGGTAGATGTAAAAAGGCAATTATTTATAGTAATGCCTGACCTAAACATATCATACAAAAATAGATGAAGGATGGTGCCTTATGGAATGGTTGCATTTATTGTATATGTGAACCAGAATAGGTAAGTAAATGCTATTCTACATGAGTATATAAGTGTCTCATTTAATGAATAAGTTTTTCATTTTATATTCTAGTAGAAACCTACTTTACTATGGGAATACTGCAGAACAGTAATATTTATGCTCAAAAATATATTTTATTTTATTTGTTGAAAATTCGGTGATTTTCATTACACGGGACCGCTGTTATATAGAATGAATTTTGAGCTTCTGGGGAAAGACCAACCGTAAGCATTTATTGAGTTATGCTGGCTTTGTATTTTGAAAAGTTTTACGTATGAAAAATATAATTAATTAGCCAGAGGAAGACTCTCTATCTACAAACATGGGGTATTTCTTTAATAATATTATTAAATTAATCAACATTAGCATTATGTATAATTCAAAAATAGTGACTGATTCCAATTATGCTTTTTGCTATGGCATTTTACCCTAAACAATTATTTTTACCTATATGGAATAATTCTTTTAACACTAAAGTTCAACAGCAACAAAACACGCCTATTTCACGTCTATTTAAATTTCAATTCTTTCAAAATGTCAAACCTAAAAAACCATAGGCGCTTCATTTATTATTTCCCAACTTAACTACAAAATTTCTTTACTTCGTCCGTATATTGCTCTTTATTACTAACCATGTCAATATTGTGTGGTTTGGTCCATTGTCGAAAAATGGTGTCATGCTTAAAAAATGGTGTCTCTTTTAATCAAGCTATCAATGAAATGCTATAAAAATATCAGTATCAAAATTTTTTTAATTTTAATAATTTATTTGTATTTTAAAAATAATAATTATTTTAGAAAGTAATATAAAGTTCTTTAACCACTCTGTTTTAGGAATAACCTAAATTTAAACACTCCTCCGGAGGGCCCTCAGAAAGCCATCACTTTATGAATCAAATAACCGCACCTAAAGAATTGTAAATAATGGAAGACAAGCAAAGAATGCTTGAAAAATGCAGCCATATGGCATTAAAGCATGCTGACGCCGAGGTATGTAAGACATGTGTTATAGGTATCTTAGTATATTGACAGTAATTACTTATTTATATCTTATTAATTTTCTCCGACTGTGCATAAAACTGATTTGTTTTTAATTGATCATATTATGCCAACACATTTTGTTTGTATTATTAGTCGGAGTTGGATGATTGTCCAAAGTGCTCAAGTCAGTGCAAAGATCTTGTCATTCACTTTTTCAATTTTTTAGATACGGATCGTGATGTAAGTGATATTTTTGTATTAATTTATCATTATTCTATAATTCTTATTTCTTAAAAATTCAGAAAATTCATTTATTGATTGATCACACTACAACAACTCTCAATTTCATGGATCAGGAGTATCATGGATTACCATACATTATGTCCTTTTACATCAACCTACCAAGAAGTGAACATGTCCTTAAAAATATTGAAGCTGAAAGACTCAGAGAGTACAAGGAAAAGGAGTGTATAGGTTACAGTGTTAATGTTCGCGGTACTATTACCTTTGACGGAGATATTGGCACTGAAAAGTGGTTTCAACAGAAATTCATAATTTTAGAAATTAATGAAAAATTCAAAATACTTGAAATGGAGTTTCAATATTTAGAAATCGAGTTTCAACATTTAGAAGAATAAAGACCGATATCATTTTTCGTAGCTAATTTTTGTTGTTTAATAAATTCTTTTAACAAGATTTTAGATGACCCTGCTTTGAGTTTTCATATTTTCTTTGTCACAAATATGAATTATGTCCGCTGAAAATTTGAAATGATTTCCAAAGTTCTTTGTTTTCGGTGCTATATTTTTCTTCGACCAACAGACTACCGTTGTCATTATTTTATTATTCCAGAGACAATAAAAATAGATTATGGACAAACTAAAGTAGGTACTGCGAACAAGCACTGGTGAATACTACTTAAATAGTCTACAATATGTGTGGGTTATTCTAACATACCATATATATCATATAATTAAAAATCAGGGCTTTGATCAACTGCTTAATAATCTTACAGTAATGCGGTGGATAATAGCAAAATATAAGTAGTAATAACGTTGGTTTTAGAGACTCTAATCAGTTCTATTGGTTGTAAATATATTTCATATAGTATAAAATAAGAACTAGCTATTACCACCTTCTTCATTTTACTAGATTTTGGAAATAGGAACAGCAAAAAGTAAAATTAAAATAAATTTTTACTTAAATTTTGCTATAAGTACATTTGGAAATATTGTTAACGCCATTTTTAGCCATCATCATCGGTGCATCCATGGGTTTCAATATTTCAGAGTAAAAGGTAAAAATGAAGAATAATTTGAAGGTTTTTAATGAAGATAGTAACGAAATTCGCATCATCAAAGTTAAATATTAAAAATTTCAATAAATATGCAAATATGCATATATATACCTATATATGATTATATATGCGTATATGTATATAATGTTTCCATTTGCTGAATGTCTTACTCACAGTTTCTATGCATTGAACGAAGGCTTCATCTTGTGACCTAAGAAAGGCAAGGAATAAACAAAATTATCGTCGTGGAAAATGACTTGAATTATTTGGAACTAATAAAAGGCTATTTGGTGCTAAAATAAAAGGCTATTTAATTGTTCCAAATATTTGCGCAGTGAAAATGTTTGTTCAATAAAAATATTATGATGTTTTCCTATAGAAAGTTCAATTGTTTGATAAAAATTGTGCTAAATGGTAAAGTTTGTTTTGTAGGGTTTAATTGGAATTTTTGAAATATGTATTTTGAAAAAAAATGTTGCACAAAAAAATATTTATTTGGATATTTTAGAAAAACTTAAGAAGTCCATTCTTATGATCCACAATACAAAGCATTATGTTATGCTGACTTCTATTAATAATACATAAATTATATATTTGTATATATGATTTAAGGCATTATCTGTTATTTAAATAACAGAATTCATTTGGATTGCATATATCAAAATGAATGTTCGTCGTAAGTACAGTGGAAGTTCTCTTTAACGAACACCGATGCAATTAGAACTTCTATTCGGTTCAAATGAACTGTATTATATGATGAAATGAATATAAATTGTGTAAAAATATATAATATATGTAAAAAATGCATATTAATTCATAAGATAGGTGCATCACTTAAACAAAGCCTTCAAAGTAAGATTTGTATTTGGTGCCGTGAGAGATGTGCAAGTTTTTTGAAAAGGTGAGGAGACGTTAAGAGAAAAATAGATATATGCTGCATATTATAACATCGCGAAAGTGATATTATAATTATAGATTTCATTATGTAATTAAATTTAACTTGCTGAGTCAGAGTGTATATATTAGGGATTTCAGTTTCAAATTTATTTGAATTATTAATATCGAAACAAGTTACTAGTCGCTATACAACTTCTTACTGGAGTTTACTTACTTAAGCTCGAGTTTATGAATTTTATATGACTTTTCAAAGTTTTGCCATTTTGATTTGAAGCAATGTCGCATTTTGTGTGAATTGAAGCTTGACTTCAAAACTCCCCAAACACTTTATGAAAATCTATTGTTTCCATATCCTTGGCGTATCTAATAAAATGTGAGGTAATAAGTGTGAATTGAATTTGGAATTGACTAATGATTTAAATGCAAAATTTTCAAAAATTATGCAAATTAGTAGTTTCCTCTTAAACTATGAACACAACATATATCTTAAAGAAATTTACATGAAATGAAAATTTGGTTAACAGTCATTGATGCGCATTGTAAATAATGCTTTCAAGGCTTCATTTTCTTCAAAAAATGACTACATTTTACAATAGTATCAAAATCAGTGTGAGGAAAACTTGTAATTTATCTCATCTTCTGCTTTTTTGGTTTACTTTTTCTGTTATTTTTCAGCAGTACTTTTGATTTTTATAATTTAACTAATTCAGTATTATCAATAGCCACACCTTTTCCGGTTCCCAATGTACTTGAAAATTATGCATTGATTTTATTCAAGTCTTCTGGATTTAAAATGCCACGCATGAGGTAACTGGTTCTGGCTCGTGTCGCTATAGGACATCATACTCATGACATGACCTACAGGTATTATTATCTAAAGACATTTTTAAGTTGGTATTGGAGTTCAAAGTATTTTCACGTCTGCTGTTTTTTTAATTTTTTGAGGATTTAAATTGAATACCAAATGCAAATGAATTTATTTGTATTTACAAAAGTATAGTTGCATATACTTTTAAGTTTTCCAGAACTGTTTTTCTCTCATTCGATATATAAGATGTTTCTAATACTATTAGTGAATGGTAGGTTATGGTTTGGGGCCTATGAAATGTTTAAATTTTCCTTTTCTAATTTGACAATGTTAAATCGAAGAGTGTTTGAAATTTCATGATCTGCTTTTAGAACTTATATGTTATGATCTATGGAACACCAGTTTGTAAAGTGGAGGTATTGGAGCATTTGCACGAAAACCCGTGAGCGGCACAATAAAAATACCGATATATATTTTAAAATAATATATAAATCTTAATAATTATAAAATATTTTATGCTAGTATTGTTGAAATTTTCCAAGAAGTCGGGATATCTGGTTAGTTCCAATTACAAGTATTTTAGTCTGTCACTTAAATTTATTTGGAAAGTGATGTTGACGTTTCGGTGGACGTAATCATCAGCCTTTCAAGAATGAACTAGAAGACCCATTCAAAATTTATATTTGCAAACGAATGATACTACAACTAATGATCACTATAAGAGGATGAATTAAGTGGATTCTCTTTTACTGAAAATAAGAAAAAAATTAAAGTCCCAAAACCTAATTCCTTAATATTTTACTTCACTTTAACTTTTGTGCTTTATTTAATTGCAAATAAATAAATATTTTAAAATGTAATTCTTGTTTCTTTTAAAAATGAAAAAAGGTTCTTTCAAAAAAAAAAATTAAAAAATTCTCTAACTCGAACTCTCTGTAAGTCGAACCTTTTCTTTGCAAAATTTATTTTCGATTTATGGAAGTTTCACTGTATTTCAATTTTCATAATTAAGAAATTCAAAGAAAATCAATTTGACGTTAGCTCTATAAATTCTGGATTATTCCTCATTGCAAATGAACAAACTTCTGAATAATATAATATAAATACTAATAATGATGAAATAATTATTAAATATCTTTTTATTAATGAAATTTCTGCTTATATATCTAAAGTAGCTATATTTTTGAAACTCAATAAAAATCATTATAAAGATAATGAAGGTATAAAATTCAATAATTCCTTATTGATTAATAAACTTCGACTTCTAATGTTAGCTAAACAAAATAAATCTGAGAAATATAATCCATGTTCAATTAATAACTTATATCTATCACAAAGTCCTCAATTTTATAAATTTGTAATACATATTTAAACAATTCCTAATTAAGCAACAGAAGAATCAATAATTAATGATTTTAAATCAATTTGATATAAACAATTTAATCTAACTAAAATTCCTTCAATCAAAAAGACGTTAATTAATATATAATTAAATTTTTAACAAACAAATAAAAAAAAAAGAAAATTAAAAAACCACAATTATTAAAAAATACAATCATTTATAACTAAATATATTATTACTTAATATATATATATTTAAATGTCCTGAATTTTCAATATAATAAAAAATTCCTATTAACATGGGCAAAGATACAAAGTATGAAATAATAATTAAATTCCGGTTTGTAAATGTTTAAATGGATATCCTCGTCCTAAGATTAATGCTAGAGTTGGAATTAATCCACCTTCAAAAAATATATATAAAGCAAAAATATTTATTCTGGAAAATGTTTAAATCGAAGAAATTAATATAAAAATTACATTAAATTTAAAAAGATAGTTTTAATTTTTAAATATATTAATTTTTCCAAATAAATTAAACATTATAAATTAATAAACAATTAATAAAATAATAATAAATTGCTAAGAAACAAAATAAATTAAAACATTATAAAATTCTAAAGGATTGAATATTGTTATGATTTATATTATTTCATGAATTATTGAAAGTCTTTTCGCATTTTTAGGTTATATTTTTACTTTAAAAGTTAATTATATTATTATACAATAATTTTTATAATAAAATCTAATTATATACTGTATATAAAAAAATAAATTATTTAAGCAATAAATTCTAAACTTAACAATATACCATAGATAATAAATATTTTCTATTAATATAACAGAATATGTTCCAATTAATATTATTATATAACAAATTGATAAATAAAAAATTAATTAATTATCATTATTTAAGTTTTTATAGTTCAACAAAAACATACCCAAATATGCAAAAACAAAACATTTTTGTTTATTTGTACCAGCAGTTATCCAAAAATAAAATCGATACCGTATCTGAAATCATGCGTTCATTATTATATGTTCCTTTCTATTTTCTTTGGTTCATATATTCTCAATAATGCCCCTCTGCGAATTCTTTAATTTATTCTTTAATTTATTCAGCGAGTTAAGTGCCCTTCACATCACGAAATACTCTTTGATGAACTCTTCCTTGCAAAAACTTTTCCAAGAGGGACGCACATGTACTGCTTCCCATAAAATCTGAGGTTATTTTTCTTCAATTACCAAGACGCATCTTTTCGCTGTTTTTAATTGTAATACCAAAGACTGTTTACTTAGATATTTCATACAAGTGACTTCTGTGAAAGCTTCTGTGTAATAACGATCTAAACAGAAATCTGGTTATTTTGCCGTAAGTAGAGGTTCTTTCTTTAAACATTTTCAAAACCCAAAAATATTAATAAGTAAAATGGAAAATCTTGAGTGAATTTAGGAAAAGAATCATCACTATGGAATTAGAACCGAGTTGATATTTTACGAAGAAATGTAGTCCCATCCTTACTTAGATGTGACGGTTAATACCTAATAAACTTTTATCGGCGGCACTCAAATTTATAACGCAACCACAATCTTGTACGTAACCTGCCTAAAACTATATAAGTAATTTGCATTTTATAATTAAAATATAATATTTTATATACTTAACAACAAAAGAAAATGTGTTTGAGAAAAAATCAAGTGACAGTGTCTTCCAATGATGACATATGTAAAGAAAAATAATAACATCCTATTAGAAAAATATTTTAAAAGTAAGTTAAATAGAGTTCTGACTCTACATTTATAACTTATATCAGAAGCTCCGTCTATACGTCTATTGTACTGCTAAACTAATTTTTTAATTTAATGCTTCCTAAGCCACAGATAGAAAGGTCACATTATATCTAACATAACGCAATGTATCTACTACTTCGTGTTACTTCGTGTATGTAAATAGATATCGGACTATGTTGAGACGAGTAATTCTATGTACACATCAGGTTATAAATTTTAGATAGTCTTTAAGGAATCTACCACTTTATGTCCAATAATGTGCAATGTGCGCTAGAAAGCTTATTTGTTCTTATTGGTTGTTATTCACAATAAATTTAATAGGTGACCACCACTATAGTTCTGCAACCTTGTCCATCATAACGCTTTATTTGATAGTAATAGCGTGATCTGAGGAGAACATATATGTGTTGAACGTTGGACTGAGTTTGGTTATTAACAAGAAATAAAAATGAGGTGGGCTAAGCTGAAAAATTTTGTCAACTACAATAGTTAAAGATATGATCAATTACACAGTACCTCTCATACGATGTCTTTTTTGTTCATTATTTTTAACTCAAATGAATTAACTCAAATTATTGAAAAATAATTTCTAATGTACACATATTTTAATATTATTTGTTAATAATATAGTATATATATTGTTTATTATTTCCTGTTTTATAAAAATTGTATATAACTTTACAAATATATAGTATCTGTATACTATGAGGATATTATGAAGATATAGATCTGTGCGAGAGGAAGTCACTCGCACAAGAACTACTCTGCCCTTCTGATATAACGAGGTTCTCAATGGCTGATATTCTGGCTTTCATTCGAAAGGTAGAAGGTCTTCTGTTCGGTTAGGGTATATTTCAGCACAAAAGATCAACAATCGTCGCAGTGCGCCGCTCCGTTGGGAGTTGGTACCTTGTTTATTTTTATTCTATTCTATTCTATTCTATATTATGAAGATTAAATAAATATTATAAATATATTATTTTCTGAATTGTAAGTTAGCTGAGTAAATTATATACATATAATAGAACTTGCTCTAGCCTTCTTAATTCGACAAATTTATTTTATAAGTTCTGCAAAGTGAGATTGCATAATTTCTTATCTGAAACAAAAGTATATACACCTATTGGAAGTGAATCTAACTTAAATCAAATGAAAACTTTGCTCTGCTTTTACCTTTTTATCAGAATTATGAAGTAAGGTATAAAAACTGAATTGATGTTTTAAAGCGAACTAGGGCGTTCCGACTACCGATCTATTATAAAACTGCATGAATTTTCTAAATTTAATAAAGAAAAGGAAAGTTATGAGAGTAAATACTGTTATTCGTAGAATATAGAATTGTTCCTCACCCTAAGCGCAGAATATAAACGCCTTAGTTTTGGGGCCATATGTTTGGCCATTAGCGGAAAGTGAAGCTAGTCATTTGTACGGTGACGTCAACAAGTGATTTGCATATTCTGTAGCTTTACGTTACTGCGTTAAAAGCTTTAATTTGTAATACTTAATAAGAACTGCATAGTTTTTTTATTTGGGATACCAAAATAATTTGAATTTCAGGGCCAACTATTACAAAAATTAAACAAAAAGTTCAAAAATCCTGACTTATAGGCGGTTTACTTTTAGGGTCTAATTTCTTCTCTTCTTCTTAATTCCTTTACCTTCTGCTCAAAGAGTGTTTTGTTGTTTATCAACTACTCCTTAAGTAATAGACCTTTTCCAAAAATTTTTTTAGCGATTTTTACTATGGAAAATTCTTGTTGTACGGGTTTTTTTGACAAAACACGGCTGTCAACACCACTGTCATCGCTCAAGCACCATATTCGCCAGATCTGGATCCGTGCGACTTTTTCCTATTCCCGAAACTCAAATTGCCCTTTCGTGGTGAACGTTTTGCGTCGATTGAATCGGTAAAAGAGAATTCGCTGAAGGAACTAAAAGCCATAAAAGAGTATAGAAGATTGGGTTAAACGTTGGCATATGTGTATTGCTTTAGATGGAGCATATTTTGAAAGAGATAAAATAAATTTGGAATATAATTTAAATTTGTGTGTTTTATTTACAAAATCCGGCTACTTTTTGAGCAGAAGGTATCTCTTTGTGGAGCATAGAACCACAGGAAACTGATTTATTTCTATAAAATTTCGCAGTTTGATGGAAGGGTACATACAGTCTCGTTGTTTTCCGTGATGAGTAGATGATTTTTATATAAATAACCGAGAAAAATAATGAGATATTAAATAGCACACAACATGTTCACCAATTGTCAATTTTCGATTTCAATTTTTTTTTTTTTTTAAATTCGTTTGTCAATTCTCTTACTCTCCTTTCTATTAACTACTTATCTTTTATATGATATTTCATATGCTGGGGACTCTAGCCACAGATTTATTAGATCCATTATTCACCTAACTACTATTTACTTTAAAATAGTGTGACAAACTTTTTGCTGTATTTACTACTAGTAGTAAAATATTTTTATACTTACTCACTTTGAGTGTCGCATTTACCATATAAACAATAAGCTTATTTCCACATAGTTTTCAGTTTAAACTTTCAATACCTAAAATTTTTCTTTAATAATACTACAAGCAATCATAAAAGGTAACATTTAGTTCTTAACACATTAACCTTCATCATTTTACATTAAACTATAATCTATACAGCTGTATATAGCTCTCTCAATCGCGCAGAGTGTATCAATTTGCCAATAGTTCGATGTCCTGAGGGTTGTTTCCGCCTAAGTTGCAATACTTCGTTTTGGATGTACGTATTATGTGTCCCAATTATGCTATTTGTCTTTTTTCATGGTTTTTAACAGTTCCCTTTCTTGCTGCATTCTTCTGAGCACTTCTTCATTGGTAACTCTATCGGTCCAAGGTATTTTCAATGGACGGCGATAACACCCCATTTTGAAAGCATCCCATTTATTCATTGCGGTTGTTTTAAGAACTCACGTTTCTACTTCATAGAATAAGACCCTGCCCATACGTGACATTTCATATATCTCATTCTTAGCAGTAGACTAAGTTCTAGTGTGTTCAATATTTTTTTCAAGTACGCTCTCGTAATTTATGAAGCTCATATAGACAAGTTTTAGCATATCTTTGCAGTTTTGAATAAAGCTTCTCGAGTTCCCATAGAATCTCTAAAGTCAAATTGTGTGCGTCCCATTACCGCTACACATTTTTTGTATATTCTTGTATGTATTATTAATTAAAAAATTAAGAAACAATTTGAAACTATGGTTCACTAGGCTCATTAAGCGATACTCATCACATTTTCTGGCATCTAGTGCTATAAACGTTGTAGCTAGTCATCTGGGTATATACCTGAGTTGTAAACACTATTGAGTATCTTTTCTTTCTATTTTTATTTTTTTTGTGATATTTTAATATGTATTAAACTTAAATTTCACAGCAACCAATCAAACATATTCAGCTTAGTTAATGCCTAGTTGGGCCATAGTTTGAACTTTAATCATATAATAATTAGTATCTTATTCATGAATATTAAATGTTCACATTAATTGTTTCGATATTAATGAAACTTTAATTGAAATTACTTCATGTTGTTGTATAGTTAGTACACCATATGTTAAGGAACTTCATTGAATGAAATTTATATTCTCTGCGAATCAATGCATCGCTGCTACCTTCATTTCCAATATTATGGTAAAGCAAATATAAATATATAAACAAATACTCATACGATTGCGAATCCAAATCCGAAGCTGCAGTTGAAGCTTAACCTGGAGCTGGAGCTGAATCTGAATTTGAATCTGAATGTGAATATAATTGAAATTGTATTGCTTAAATGTACGTAAAATGTACGATTTACTTAACAATTCAAATACACTCAAGGATATGCAGCACTTTATGTAAATAGCAGATTACCTGGTATGCGATTAAATAAATTCGGAAAATGAAATTACAGAAGTGAGAATGTTTACGTGTGGTGGTAAGTATCTATGTATGTGCATTGTACTAAATGCACTAATGAAAATTTGCTACAGAATAAACGTTAAACTCTTGAATAATCAAAACACAATTGCGAATACCTAAATGATTTCAGTTTTAGTGTTAAGTGCTTTAAGAATTTAAGCTTCAAATTGTCTGACTTTGAAAACCGAATACGGTGATATTGTGGGAAATAGCCAAGAAGTTGATAAGTAAGAAAGTTTCTTTAGACTTTAATTCGAAAGTCAATTGGTTTCTATTTCTTTGATCAGTCAGATATTGAATACATATTATGACTTTTATAATGCTTATATATTCACACATATTATTTGTTGCTTCTGTTTGATTTCAATAATTAATAACACTAATATTTTTTATACTTTGGCTCGGTTTCGATATTTTGTTTCAAACTAAATCCAAAACCACATATCAACACACAATCATTAAAGCCGTGATTACGGCAATCTCATACTATATTAGGCACTTGGTTAGTATCGTTCATTTTATTCATGTTTCCGGATATTCGAAGTGTTCAGCGAATAGATATTGAGGTAAAAAGATCGAAATAGCTTGAGCTGTGCGATGTAAAATGAAAATTAAATTATTTGAATACTTCGAACTATAGCAACCAGATGCGTTTTCGGGCGGAAAGGGAAATAAGAAGGGATCCATCAGATAATAAAGGTACAGATAATCAAGACTGTACAGACTATATATTTTAATACTAACAACCAGAAATTTTGATAAATGAAACTTTATTAAAGTTTCTATTGAAGAATCCTGTTAACTATGGCAAAAGGAATGGTTCAAGAGTTAGTTCCCGCTACTGAGCACAAATAGTATTTATGTAATATCAAAAAAATATCAACGATTAAAATGCTTACATTTCTACGTATATATACGGATGTGTATATAAATGAAACTGTTGCAATATATTATAATACAATATAATTAAACTGTAAGTACAAAAATGCAACTTAAATAAAACCTAAATAAAATTAAAAATAGAAGTTATTGCTTTTATAATGTAAGATTGAACCTTTTTCGAGTTAGTGCATCTGGCCACTTTTACTTTTTGATAGCTGAGGAGTTTCTGCAGAGTTCCACCCATCTCACTGACTAATTTGTGTGTACCTCATAGGTTTGGTGATTATTCAATGACTGATCTAAGATCTGCGTACCGCTCCGTGCAGTTAGTGTTTACCAGACGACGAGTGCAACTCAAACAGCAAAAGTAAAGAAGCATTTCCATTGTTGCCATATAAATTGAATAGTGAAATAGTGAATCTAATTGTATGTTCACATCCAGCGATTTTTGCCGAAGAAAAGTTTAAGTACAGTAATCTCTCCTATAACACAGTAAATTACACGATTAACACAAAATGTCTTAATAAGAAAACGCGTTATAAGAGGCTAAGAGTATCATGTTATAGAACAAAAAAAAAACGAGGATTTTATTTTTTTATTGTTTGAGAGTACATTTTCACATTATTTAGAGTTAAAAGTTTTTACTTCTTAGTTCTTCTCTCACATCTTCATTTCTGTTTTGAAAATATCAAATAAAGTTGATTTAAAAGGAGAACTTCTAAATTGAGTAAACTATGTTAGCAATATTTGTTTCTTTTTGTTTTTGAAACTTATTTTGAATCGCGGTTTTAGTTCCACTTTAGTTCCATTACAGCATTTAAAGTTCAAGATTTACTATTTGCCAAAAAATTATACTCGACAGATTGCAACAGTGATGGCAATATCTTGCAATATCACGTTCTATTAGTAATTAGAGAGATTCAAGTTGGCTTGGGTTCCTTTTGCGGTATATTGATAAAACTATGCTTGTATTGTGGTCCTTTCTTTTTAAATATTATAACACCTTACACGTTCATCAAGAACTAAACCTCTAACATTGTGAAAGAATTTATAATCCCATACCTATAAAGCGCTTTCATTGACTTTAGATTTTGAAGAATTTTTTTATTTTCTTTATACTTACAGAAATAATTTGAGCACAAATGATGGCCGTTTGTGACACCACTGAAGTAGATAAAATATTACTAAGCCTTAAAACCTTATATCTTTACTGGTTTATATGCAGCTTTTAACTTTAATAAAGTTTTCATTCAACTATGACCGTGTGCAATTTCGAGTAAATTGAGGTAAAATTTTTTTAGTATTTTTTTGCACTGCACTTACGTAAATATTTATTCATTTTTTTATTTATTTATTTATTGTACTTATTTATTATTTTTGGTGAAAAGTTATTAAATTTATTTATTTATTTATTAAACATTTTATAAAATTTTCACAATAGTAATACCTAAATTACTTAATTTTTATGTAATTCACCCTACTCGAAATTCTGGTAAATATCAACATTCGTGCCATACCGACATAATTTACTATTTGCCTAAATTTATCATCAATTTACTCGAACTCGCGCACACGTCATTTATATCAGTTTTAAGTATTCTTTATCACTTCAAAAAATTTTATTAATTTTCCACAAATTATTCCATTTCATAATTTTT